TTGGTATTCATCTGGCTTGTTCACTGCCACCGCCCATTCAGCGTGGCCCATTCACTGCCACCGCCCATTTGCTGTGGCTTGTTTGCCGCCGCCGTGGCCCATTTGGCACGGCCCATTTCACTGCAGCCCGTTTGCTGCAGCCTGTTTGCCGCCACCACAGCCCGTTCAGTGCAGCCTGTTTGCCACAGCCCGTTTGCCACTGCTATGGCCCGTTCGGCATGGCCCATTCACCGCCACCAATCCCCACCGCCTGGAACCTGCTGAAAATGCAATGTTCGGAGGCCAAAAACGGGGCATGCAGAGGCCAAAAATGTGACGTATGGAGGCTGAAAATGGGGGCCGGTGGGTGGGTGGGGCTTCAGCAACATTCGGTATATGAGACGCACCACAATTTTCACCAACTTTTATGGAAGGGCGTCTTATACTCTGAAAAGTACGGTAATCCTGTCAGGGAGGCCGTAAAAAGGGAGTTTCAGTTTATCTTGGAGAGTTTATTTTTATCCTGATTCCCCTTATCTTAATGGCTCTACTTAAGTGTTCCTTTCAGCTGGTACTTTTGCCTGGGGTTTTCTTAAAGGGGGAAGGGCTGATTTGAGTCTTTTGGTACTGTTTTCTAAGGTTTCTGGTGCTGTGTGGTTTCTGGCACATCGATTCACTTAATGACCTCTGCAAGAAGAAAGTTATAAAATCAGGTTGATCAGGGAGATCCAATTTATGACTGTCACAACTTACGACAGTGATGGGCAGTCAGTCATAAGTTGAGGACTCTCTGTGATATGCCTCTGCCCTGTTTTCCTTGGGGCAACTGTGTTCTGTCTCTTCCAGCAAACTAATACAGCAGTTGGAATATTTATGAATATTTCGTGAAGTCACCCGCCAGCTCTGAAGAGAGTTCTGCTGAGTAGCAATGATCTGTTAATCCCTTTACACCAGGGATGTCCAACCTTGGCAACTTTTAAGATTTGTAGACTTCAATTCTGGGAGTAGAAGAAGTTCCACAGGTCTTACACTATCCGTCTTGCAAAATTCTGAGTTTTGCATTCTTTGAAGCCAGGTTCTCTGCTTCTCGTTCTGTGCCTTTCACAACCTCCGATCTGTCAATCTGCCATGCATTTATCCTGCACCGACACAGCTAAACTGACAAGAGGTGTGTGTGCGTGTCTTTGTGCATTGGGATTGGGTGGAGAGGAGAGAAACGAGGCAGCTACCGTTAATTGGGAGCCATATTCCCACCAGCCAATCCCTCACTGAAGCCCAAATTGACAGATGTCCATTACCATTTGTCTTGCATTGCTGTGTTGTGCAAACAAACTGAAAAAAAAAACCAATTCTGTGCGTTAGTGACTTTTTTTAGGAGTCCTTCGGCATGTGTGTGCGTGTTCATACCCTTTTCACAATATCAATCAATTGATTGAATATCAATCAATCAATCAGAATAGAGCTGGAAGGGACCTTGGAGGTCTTCTAGTCCAGCCTCTTGCTCAAGCATTTCAGACAAGTGCCTGTCCAGTCTCTTTTTAAAACTCTCCAATGTTGAAGCATCCCACAACTTCTGAAGGCAAGCAGTTGCACTGGTTAATTGTCCTCACTGTTAGGAAGTTTCTCCTTAATTCCAGGTTGCTTCTCTCCTCGATTAGTTTCCATTTGCCCTGCCTTCTGGTGCTTTGGAAAATAAATTGACCCCCTCTTCTTTGTGGCAGCCCCTCAAATACTGGAAGACTGCTATCATGTCCCCCCTACTCCTTCTTTTCTCTAGACTGGCACAAACCCAATTCCTGCAAGCATTCTTCAGATGTTTTAGTCTCCAGGTCTTTAAATTATCTTAGTTGTTCTTCTCCGCACTTTTTCCAAAGTCTCAACAACTGTTTTGTAATGAGATGACCAAAACTGAAATGCAGTATTCTAAGCGTGGCCTTACTAAGGCTTTATAAAGCGGTAGTAATACTTCACATGATTTTGATTCTGTGCCTCTGTTTATACAACCAAGGATGGTATTAGCTTTTTTGGCTGCTGTTGGCTCATGTTTAAGTGATTGTCCACTAAGACTCCAAGGTCCCTCTCACAGTCACTGTTTTTGAGCCAGGTTTCGCCTAATCTGTACTTGTACCGTTGGGTTTTCCTGCCTAAGTGTAAAACCTTGCTTTTCTCCACATTAAATTTCATTTTGTTGGATAGGGCCCATGGTTCAAGTTATGTTAAACAATGTTCATTGTGGATTATTTATTTATTTATTTATTTTATTATAATTATATGCCGCCCTTCTCCCGAAGGACTTCGGAGCGGCTTACAGAAATAAAAAAAAAAATGAAAACAGTTAAAAATAACTACACAAGACAATCAATTTAAAATCCATCCAATTAAAATCATCCATCAGATCAGCCAATTTGTTGGAAAAGCCATGTCTTCAGCTCTCGGCGGAAGGAGCAGAGGTCAGGGGCCATCCGGAGCTCTGTGGGTAGCCCATTCCAGAGGGTCGGTGTGCCCACAGAGAATGCCCTCATCCTGGGTGCCACCAGCCGACATTGTCTGGCCGATGGCACCTGGAGGAGGGCAGTCCTATGTGAGTGTACAGAGCGGTGGAAGGCAGGCAGAAGGTGGTCCTGTAAATACCCCAGGCCTATGCCATGTAGGGCTTTATAGGTAAGTACCAGCACCTTGAAGCGAATCCGAAGGACCACCGGTAACCAGTGCAGCTCACGCAGGAAAGGTGTAGCACAGGAATAACGGGAAGCTCCCGTAACAACCCGCGTGGCTGCATTCTGGACCAACTGGAGCCTTCGAGTACACCCCAAGGGCAGCCCCATGTAGAGGGCATTGCAGTAGTCCAAACGAGAGAATGAAGGCGAATGTATTTGTCCCAGGATAAATGTTGTAGGATCCAATGTGGCTCGGTCACCGGGACCAGAGATTTTGTCTTCCAAACTTTCGGACTCGTATTGGAGCCCATCCTCAGGAAACTTCTTGTTGTGGTCCGCCAGCAGCCTGTGGAGCTGGCAGTGGAGTCGGACAGTGAGGAGGCTGGAGAGGAACCTGGGCCAGTCCTGGAGTCTGGGGAAAGCCTGGACGAGGGCTCTGCATCGGAGGCAGAGATGGGGCCCTGGCCATCTGGGAGTGATGCGCAGACTCCGCAGCCCCCAGAGTCAGACAGCAGAGAGGCAGAGGAACAGGAAGAGCCTGTTCCTAGTGCACGCATGCGTAGAGCTGGCAGAAGGCAAGAGTAGCTAAAGCAAAAGGGACGACTCGGGAGTAAGGCCAGGAGATGATTGACCCTTCCCATAAGGCTTAAAAGAGAAACAAAGGCACTTGGGCCTTTTGCAGGAAAGCAACGTTGCTAACTCTGTTTCCAGTTGGCATCTCTTGTTTGTTTCTGAACTTTGTGGGGCTTTGCCAAGTAAGGCCTTTGGCAGGGTGTCAAAGAAGATAAAGGTTGGTGATTATCCCGAAGGACTTCTTCCGAAGGACTTGTTTTGCAACTAATTAGGACTCAGCTGGGAATGAACGTAATTCTCAGCTGTTACAATAAAATAGGTTTATTTGGGACTAATTGTGTATTGTAATTACTCAGTAAGCCTAGGTCACAACATTTCTCTCTAGCAGTGTGTATGTGCTGTTCTCTGTGTGGTATTTATATGGTGCCTGTTGTATGTGGCTTTTTAGATGTTGATTGGGGTGTGATGATGGCCGTCTATTAAGCCATTGGCTATCCTTCATTTGTGCTATCCAGCCCTCATTTTCTAAGTACTAGATAGGCTGATGATAAATCATCTGTCAAGGAGACCTAAACTCATTGGTAGCCTCACACTGCAATGAACAAGGATTCAATTTTGCAGCTACTAAGATTGTTGGACGAGCAGATACAAAAACAGCCAGGGAAGTGATTGAATTCTAGGAAAGGGGGCCCTTGTCAGTCAACAGAAATGCCGATTGACCACCAGCTTATCAAGTACTTACCGTGTTTCCCCAAAAATAAGATCCTGTCTTATATTTTTTTGAACCCTGAAATAAGCGCTTGGCCTTACTGCCATGTCCTCAAAAACCCGGTTGGGCTTATTATCAAGGGATGTCTTATTTGGTGGGAAACAGGGTAGAAGGCGAAGCAAACAACAGCCACCGACTTAATAGACAGACATCAACACACCCCAATCAAGATCTAAAAAGCCACACACAGAACAGGCACCATATAAATGCCACACACAGAACAGCACAGACTCTGCCAGAGAGAAGTTCCCTGAGGATGGGCCCCAGCATGAGTCCAAAACAGGGGTGAAATCCAGCAGGTTCTGACAAGTTCTGGAGAACCGGTAGCGGAAATTTTGAGTAGTTCAGAGAACTGGCAAATATCACCTCTGGCTGGCCCCAAGAGTGGGATGGGAATGGAGATTTTGCAATGTCCTTCCCCCAGGAGTGGGGAGAGAATGGGGATTTTGCAGTATCCTTCCCCTGGAGTGGGGTGGGAATGGAGATTTTGCAGTATTCTTCCCCTGCCATGTCCACGAAGCCACGCCCACAGAACCGGTAGGGAATTTTTTTAAATTTCACCCGGTGATCGACCCAGATCGGATCCTACAATGTTCAGTGTTATCATGTTACAGCAGGGGTGGCAAACTCGATTTCATGGAGGGCCGCATCAGGGTTATGATTGACCTCGGTGGGGGGGAGAGTGGGCGTGGCCAGGGTGGGCTTGGCCACTCGTGTCAGGGCCGCCTGTGTTGACCTGAGAACTCTGCCAGAGAAAATGGGGTCCTACAGCTCTCTGCCAGTGAAAACAAAACTCCGTGCGGCCCTCCCGAACACCGATTTCTATGGCAGAGGCACGGTGGGCCAGTTCTTCGCTGTTTCCAGGGCGGTCCCGTAGGCCAGGGATCTAAGCACCCCGCAGGCCGGATCCACGCCCTGGGCCTTGAGTTTGACACCCCTGAGTTACAGCATGGCGTGCACGTAGACACATTCACACAAATAAACACACCCACACATCCCAACAAGAGAAACAGAGAAAGAAGAAAAAAAGAGAAACAGCTTCATATAGCAAGAAACTTGATTCCAAAACTGTCAGCATCCAGATTACACGGGATCAAAATACAGCAATAAGTCGTATCTGGTATATAGAATAAATCAGATATAGAGACAACTCGGATCGATGAGGAAGGCTGCTTGCTGACAGAGCAACGGTACAAAAATGCATCGGCTTGTACTTTAGTCGCCAACTCAAAATCATGCAGAAAATAGAAATCGATAGATAAATAATTGACCGATACTTATTTGGGTAGATATCATAAACAAAACAAGCAAATAAATAATACAGTTTGCTCCCTTTTTGGAAAACAAGGTCTCCCATTCCTGGCATCCGTACAACTTTATAATCCCGGAGTCTGAGCGAACACAAAACGACATTTGAAAAACAAGGATCTGTGTTAACAAGATTAAAAGGGAAAAAAAGGAAGGAAGGAAAGAGGATTAACTCAAATTTTGGCTGCTTTTGAGTTTCGAGGCGGGGAAAAAAAAATGCAGCGATTTTGATCTCCAGTTAAAAAATCTCCTCTTTCTGGCCTCTTCAGTCCCAAAGATACTACAGCTTGTAAAAATGGGTTTATCTTAGGAGGAAGGGAAAAGAAGAGGATAACCAATAGAGAGAGTCCTCAAGTTACAACCACAATAGAGCCCCAAATTTCCATTGCTAAGCAAGAGAGTTATTGAGTTTTGTCCAGTTTTACGACCTTTCTTGCCACAGTCGTTAAATGAATCACTATGGCTGTTAAGTTAGTAACAAGGTTTTTAAGTGAATCTGGCTTCCCCATTGACTTTGCTTGTTTGATGGTCGCAAAAGGGGACCTGTGGAATGAACTGCCCCCGGAAATACGTAAGATCTCCGACCTCCAGATGTTTCGCTGCGCATTGAAGACCCTGTTGTTCCGCCAGGCCGGGCTATCAACATAATAATTTTAAATTGGGGTATTTTAAATTTTGGGGTTTTTAAATCGGCCAAATCTATTTAATTATTTTTAATTTTTAATCATTGTTGTGTCTTGTTTTTAAATTGGCTGTACACCGCCCTGAGTCCTTCGGGAGAAGGGTGGTATAGAAATAAAATTATTATTATTATTATTATTATTATTATTATTATTATTATTATTATCATCATCACTTGACCCCGGGATGCTACAACTGTCATAAATACTAGTCAGTTACCAAACGGCCAAATTTGGATCATGAGGATGCTGCAACCATTGTAAATGTGAAAACCATTCCTAAGTCATTTTTTTCAGCGCCGTTGTAGCTTCAGACGGCCACTAAATGAATGGTTGTAAAATGTATGTAACACAAAGAAAAAGGTTGGAAATCACTGCCTCTGTTTTCTTTGCTATTTGTTTATTTATTTCATTTATTTATTTCATTTCTATGCTGTTAAGTGAATCTGATTTCACTTAACTGCTGGCTGGGGATTTCTGGGAATTGAAGTACAGCCATTTTAAAGCATGCTGGTTGGGGAATTCTGGGAATTGAAGTCCACAGTCTTAAAGCTGCCAAGTTTGAAGACCTCTGCTTTAGGGCATCTAAGTTTGGGCAAGCATATTTACTTCCACCAACCTAACCTTTGTAATCTCTGCACATACAGACATACTGTCTTTTCACCTTGTAGTAAAAACATACAATGCTAGGTTTTGTCTAACATGCTTTACTCATCACATCCGAAATAGAGGCACAAAAAAGTAGGTTACAGGTGTTCCTCAAGTTACAACCATTCATTTAGTGACCATTTGAAGTTACAACAAAAAAAACAACTTATGATCATTTTTCACACTTACAACCGTTGTAGCATTCCTAGGGTCACGTGATCAAAATCAGATGTTTGGCAACTGACTCATATTTATGATGGTTGAAGCGTCCCGGAGTCAAATGATCCTCTTTTGTGACATTCTGACAAGCAAGGTCAATAGAGAAGGCAGATTCACTTAACAACCGTGTTACTAACTTAATAACTGCAGTGATTCACTTAACAATGGCAAGAAAGGTCGTAATATGGGGTAAAACACACTTACCAACTGTCTTGCTTAGCCTTATAAAGTTGGGACACAATTGTGGTCGTAAACCAAGGACTACCTGTGATTTACACATGAAGTAAATCTGAGAACTGGATTAAAAAGTGAATTGGAAGATCCCGATTATTAATAAGGGGATATAGGAAGTTCTCCGTAGCACACTAAAACCATTGCCTTAAAAACGGGTATCAATTACAATGTAGGTTCATTACGTACAGTCCTCACGTTATGACAGCAATGGGGCTGGAATTTCCATCACTAAGTGATGCCATCATAAAGTGCAATGTTGTGTGACTGCATTGGTTTGTGACAGCAATTCCAGCCCTCCCTGTTACTGCACTTAAGCAAGGATTGTGGATTGTTAAGGGAGGACCTCGTAACTTCCTGCTGGTTTCCAACCAGTGAAGTTAATGGGGAAGCCTGCAGGAAGTCGCAAAGTTCCCAGTCATTTGTAAGCACGCTTGCCGGCAGTTAGGTAGCTGTTGCTGGGTGTGCAAGGCTGACACGGCAAAAGCACAGAACTAGTGGTTGCAGCCTGGTGCATGAGGGTGTGTAAGCATGGCAGGGCCAGGGGTGGCTCCTTCCAGGTGTGCAAAGGTTCACAGATGGGGCGTGCTGCTACATTCATCATAGCTGAACCCCTCAGTGCAAAAAACCTCTGGAGTATGAGTGACTTACCAGAGTGTGACCTTCTCTGCTGGCTTCCCCATTGCCTTTGCTTGTGGGAAGCCAACAGGGAACATCACAGTAGTGGGATCCAGCTGGTTCGGGCAAACCGATAGTTAAATTGCTGGCTGGCTTCACCACTTTTGGCCCCTTCCAGGAGTCCCCACGCGCCGCAATTTGACTCCCAGGTTAAGTGCAGGGAGACCTCCTAGGCTCAAAACAGGGTGCGGGACGGCATCCGTCCCTCCCCCCGCAGCCCGTTTTCGCTTCCAGAAGGCTTCAGGGAGGCCTTCTAAGCACAAAACAAGCCGCAGGAGGGGGGGCAGTGCTCCCTCCCCCGTAGCCCATTTTCGCTCCCAAGGGGGTGCAGGAGGCAGAGTGCTACCTATCACATCCCCTGGCCACGCCCACCATGGCCACGCCCACGCAGCCGGTCATTAGGGCAGAAAACCAGTTGTTAAATTATTTGAATCCCACCACTGGAACATCACAATAGTGATCATGTGACCACAGGAGGCTGCAACCGTCATAAGTGTGAGCCAGTTGCCAAATGCCCAGATCATGATCATGTAAGCGCAAGATGTTGGGACAGCCCAGAATCTCAAAGGACCACTTGCACAATGCGGTCGTAACTTCAAATAGTCACTGAACAAGTGGTCATTAACTGAGGACTACCCATATTTCAGATTATGATCCCAATGGACCTTTTCTTTAGATCCTATCTGGGTATTCATTTAGGGCAGTGGTGGGATTCAAATAATTTAATAACCGGTTCTCTGCCCTAATGACCAGTTGGATAGGTGTGGCTTGGTGGTCATGTGACCGTGTGGGCGTGGCCAACTCAAAGTCACTCATGTCGATGGGCGCTTCGCCTTAGCTGTTACAATGTAATAATGGTTAACCAGAGAGGCAATTTCTATAAGCAGGGCAATAAAGATTAGGCTAGAAACAACACTAGAACGTTGTAATTCCTTACAGGATTAGCTCTGTAAAGTGGGGAAAAACAAAAGGACATTTCTTCCAACAACCGGTTCTCTGAACTGCTTAGAAAGTTAACAACCAGTTCTCCGGAATAGGTGCGAACTGCCTGAATCTAACTACTGATTTAGGGGTTGCAAAATAACAGTTGCTCAGCTATGTTTGCTCAATGGTTCCTTGATTGGTCCTGCAAGAACAGCACCTACCTACCTACACTGAGGAGAAGTGGGTGTTTGCAATGAAGGGAACGATTCTTGGCACATTCTTGGTTTTGTTTTTGAGCCTTAGGAAAACTGATCGGAAAAAAAAAATGTTAATATTAGAAAGGAACCACAACTTGGTGGAAGAAATTGACTTGTAGAAGGCCTGGAGTTCAATCTTCAGCCTTTCCAAATTCCAACTTGAATGTCCCTGACATTTTCAAACTTGACAAATATAAGACTGTGCACTTCAACTCCCAGAATTCCTCAGCCCTTGTAGCTGGCTGAGGAATGCTGGGAGTTGAAGTCCAGCTATTTAAAGCATGCTGGCTGGGGAATTCCAGGAATTGAAGTCCAGCCATCTTAAAGCATGCCGGCTAGGGAATTCCAGGAATTGAAGTCCAATTGCTGGCTGGGGAATTCCGGGAATCGAAGTCCAGCTATCTTAAAGCATGCTGGCTGGGGAATTCCGGGAATCGAAGTCCAGCTATCTTAAAGCATGCTGGCTGGGGAATTCCGGGAATTGAAGTCCAGCTATCTTAAAGCATGCTGGCTGGGGAATTCCGGGAATTGAAGTCCAGCTATCTTAAAGCATGCTGGCTGGGGAATTCCGGGAATCGAAGTCCAGCTATCTTAAAGCATGCCGGCTAGGGAATTCCGGGGAATTGAAGCATCTTCAAGCTGTCAAATCTGAAAAACACTTCTGTAGAGGCTAACACTGATTCTTGCCCCTTCTTGTTTGAATGGAGGGTTGGGTGTCTCAATCAGGACTCTCTATTTCCTCATCTTGATTTTTATCGTCAGATGTGTTCAAGCCATCTGAAGTGTGGATTGAAAAACTCCAAACTCTTAAGGCTGGGAGTGATCGGAGTCTCCGAAGACTCCAAAAAAGCGGACCAGTGCAGGATAAGGCAATTCCGTGAGTATCACCCAGCCCACTTTTAAAATTATCATTATTTATTGTTATTGAGGATGGTCTCTCAGGCCAGGATTATCAAAACATTAAAAAAATAATCACGGCCCCATATCCACTTCATATTTTCCTCTATCCCTTGTTATCTCCCTGTGTGTTTTCCTTCATTTTGATCTACTGTCCAGACAGTGCAACGTCCATCAGTCCATTTTTTTTTGCCTTCGGGTTGAAAGTTCATTATCGGACATCGCTCCGATTTCTGCGATTTCCCCTGAAGTCAAGCAGAGCAGGGAGGCGAAGTCTCTGTCTGATCCCCCACATCTTGCAAAACAGCATTTTTGGGGGACAGTTGCTGGATCATCCGCTGGGCTTCAGAAGCTCTTCTCGGCCCAGCTCATTCTCCTCGTCCACTTCCTTCAGAAACCACATGTTGGATCCTAGCTCCCAAATCAGAAATTGGAATTTGCACCCAATTTGGGAAGCGAAGACGTTTCCTGGGTACCTGAAGAAAGTGGTCACTCACGTCCCTTTTGCAGAAGCCAAGTGAGCCTGTTTAGATCATCTTCCAACAGATTGGTGCTTGGCTCAACGACACGACAGAATCGAATGCAACCGGCATGCATCTTAAAAGGGGTACATTCTCAGATTCTCGGCATGCATTTGTGAGGAAGAGGTTCAAAAACAGGGTGGAAACCTGGTTTATTCATGCAGCCACCTCCTACGCTGAGGAAAACCCATTGGAAGGAATCTCCCTGCTACCCTTCAAATTCCCAGGCCCGCTCTACCTCCAACACGGTAACTGTGAAAGAAGACCGGCTCGCAGTGACCAAGGGACACACCTTGACTCAAGAGACAAAGAACATCCTGACCTTCTAAGAAAATAAGGTCACGCGGCAAGGTACTGAGGTTTCATGCAAAAATGCTGGGATGCCCCCCTCCATGGACCTCAAACATGCAACACCCATTTTACGGAAATGCTAACTGATCTTGGAGGAATCTGCGTGAGCAGATCTCCAAACCCTCCCAGGCAAGAAGCCGACTGGGATTAGCGGCAGGCCACAGACACCGGAGAGGGGAGACTTTATAAAAAGGGGAGCAAGGAAGTGAGGGGCAATTCCTTCTCGCCCATCAGAGTGTCCCGTTTGAGACTGCTGCCTTTGTTAACCACTTTGACCTTGAGGGACATTTTCCTCATGTTGCTGAGGCCCAGCCCGTCGAAAAAGAAATCTTCGTTGAAGATGGGGTTACGGCTGTTCTTGATGATCGTGCTCCGTTGCTTCTGCAGCTTGCCGGGGTTTAAATAGACAGTCACGCAACAGTTGATGCTCCGGATGTCACAGTGCTTGTCGTAGAGGTCTTCGGCGGCCACGATGCGCACCCGCAGCCGGGCGTTGGATGGGTTGTACTGGACCACCAAGCGGATGCTGCCTCCTTTGCTAAAACTGAGCACATGTTCCTTGTGAAATCTGTCTTGGGGGTCTGTGGGAGCAGGCGGCTGTGGTTGCACCCCGCCGGTGGCTCCCCCGGTTGGAGGGGTCGCACAGCGCATGCGGCGCTGGGAGCTGGGACTGGTGTCAGCCGAACTGTCATCGGTGGACAGGGAACTGTTGCGAGCCACCGAGTGTTTGAGTTTGATGACCTTGGATTGACTCTCCTGGCTGAAGATCTTGAGAAGGGACACCGACCGCGACAGCAGTGGGGAACCGAAGGGAGAGGACTCCGCGGAGGAACAGGTGTCGCTCTCCCCTCCACTGAAGTAGCGGTAGGGATTCATGAGGGACATACTGATGTCCGAGGGGTTCAGGTGGGCGCTCTCTCCATTGGTCTTGCTCCCTCCTGAGGTGGACCTCCGTTGAGAACTGGGCGAGGAGGACTGGGATGGGCACAGGCTGGTGTGCTCGCTGTGGAAAAGAGATTCCTTACGGCGCGTGTGAGGACTCTCCATCAGCGTCGCGAAGCCGTACGAGGTCTGTGCTTTGGGGACATACGGCAGCGACATGGCCGTCTGGGACTGTGGGTCTGCATTGGTACTGTAGTCCTCCTCAGACATCCATTCATCTGCGCTCTCGATCTGGATGATGTGTCGGCTGGCGGCTTTTAAAAGATTCTTGCTCTCCGAGACGGCCTTCACGGGCAAACGAGGGCTGCGCGGGGTTTTGCGGGCAGATAAATTCTGCTCGGAAGCCGAAGTGCCCAGATTGGGTTTGGTGTTCCCTTCCTCTCCCTCAGGAGGTACCGTCGGCAACTTGGGAGGAATGAAAAAATCCGGGATTTTATCCGGTGTCAGGACATTGCTGTACAAGGGTCCTTTGGACTGCTTATCTCCCGAGTCGTTGCCACGAGAACCGCTATTGTCCACTGAGCCCCGGATTTTCTCTAAAAGCCACATTCTGAGTCTTTTTCTTCTACTGGTTCAAAAGGAGACCGACAACTGCAAATACCTGGAAGATAAAAGAAAAAATTGGAGTGAGTTTCTTACCCTACCACTTGTACAGAATAGTCTTTTTAATTTGCAAATTAGCTACTGCTGAGCAGAGAAATAATCTCCTTAGATTATTCCAATGGAGGAAAAGAACATTGGTTTTTGAAATTTCTATCCAAGGGAAAGAACAGATTTCAAGGATGGGCCACAGCTTTTTAAAACTTACTTCTTCATAAGCATATCAGCCACGGGGAGAAATCAGGAGATTCAGGCAGTTCAAACGAGAATAAAGATTTATTGTAAACTTAAGATCTCTACAAAAATCTGACCTACTAAAAGTCAAGGGAAATGCGTGGGAATTAGGAAGGCATTTGATGTGGGCTGGACTTGGGGGCACACAGGGACTCATGACTGATGACACATTTTACTCCTCCTTCGGACTCAGCCTGGTTATTTCCTACATTGCAATAGTACTTAAGACTTATACACTGCTTCACAGTGACTTACAGCCCTCTCTTACAGAGTCAGCATATTGCCTCCAACAATCTGGGTCCTCAGAAGGATGGAAGGCTGAGTCATCCTTGAGCTGGTCAGAATCGAACATCTGTCAGTGAGCAGAGTTTGCCTGCAATACTGCATTCTTACCACTGTGCCACCATGATGACGTATGATACCATAGCCAGGGCCTGCATGTCCTCAACCTACAACCACAATTGAGCCCAAAGTGTAGGTTGCTAAGTGAGACATTTGTTAAGTGAATTTTGGCCCATTTTACAACCTTTCTTGCCATAGTTGTTAAGTGTATCACTGCAGTTGTTAGATAGATACTAGATAGATAGAATTCTTTACTGACCAAGTGTGATTGGACAAACAAGGAATTAACAAAAAATAATAGGATAGGATAGGATAGGATAGGATAGGATAGGATAGGATAGGATTGGGGATGGGGATGGGGATGGGGATGGGGATGGGGATGGGGATGGGGATGGGGATGGGGATGGGGATGGGGATGGGGATAGGGATAGGGATAATAATAATAATAATAATAATAATAATAATAATAATAATAATAATAATAATAATTTTATTTATATACCACCCATTCTCTCGAAGGACTCAGGGCGGTGTACAGCCAAAATTAAAATACAAATATACAAATATACAATATCTAGTTAAAATTAATTAAAATCATTAAATAGTTTTGGCCGAATTTTTAAAACCTAACATTAAAACCCAATTTAAAATCATTCAATTTGACAGCCCTGCCTGTCGGAACAGTAGGGTCTTGAGGGCACAGCAAAAAACCCGGAGGTCAGAGATGTTCTGAATATCTGGGGGCAATTCATTCCAGAGGGCAGGAGTTCCCACAGAGAAGGCTCTCCTCCTGGGTGTCGCCAGCCAACATAACTTGGCTGACGGCACCCTGAGGAGGCCCTCTCTGTGGCAGCGAACTGGTCGGTGGGAGGCTGTTGGTGGCAGAAGGCGGTCCCGTAGATATCCTGGTCCTATGCCATGGAGCGCTTTAAAGGTGGTGACCAACACCTTGAATTGCACTCGGAAGACCACTGGGAGCCAGTGCAGCTCGCGCAGGAGAGGTGTTACATGGGCGTAACGAGGTGCGCCCATAACCACCCGCGCGGCCGCATTCTGGACCAGCTGGAGCCTCCGAGTGCTCTTCAAGGGGAGCCCCATGTAGAGAGCATTACAATAGTCCAGACGGGAGGTGACGAGGGCATGAGTGACCGTGCACAAGGCGTCCCGGTCCAGAAAGGGACGCAACTGGCGGATCAGGCGAACCTGATAAAAAGCCCCCCTGGCTACAGCCATCATATGCTCTTCTAAAGACAGCCATGAGTCCAGGAGGACGCCCAGATTGCGAGCCCTCTCTGTGGGGAGCAGAGATTCACCCCCAATAGTCAGCAATGGGAAAGGCACCCTCCACAGGGTTGTTACGAGGAAAATAGGAGGAGGAAGGTGTGTTGAATACGTTCACTGCCTCGATTTATTCGTAAAAGCACTGGTATGAGGACAGGATGACCTCCAAAAGTTCCCTCTTGGTTCTGTGATTCTATGTGAATTCCCAAAAAGCCGGTTGGCACTGGCTCTAAAGTTAAAACCTCTCATCCTTTTAACGAGACAGGAGCCTCTTGTCTGCGCGTGATGTAAGTCTCCCCAAATTACATAACAGAACAGCTGATTCTAAGTGTTAGAACACAGCCAAGCTGGCAGGCAAATGCTGTGCTACTGGAGGCAAAACACCAGCTGAAAAAAACAGCAGGCCTCTGGATGGCTTCACACATAACTCCCAGGCGCACAAACGGAAACTCCGATGTTGCTTCAGCAATGTTTGGAAATAAATGGAGAATTTCTCTGGCAGGTTCACTCAACACACATAATCAAATCAGGTTTATACAACATAAGTCAGTTGGGCTAGGAGCGAGCTAATTTTTTTTCAAGTGCCTTTACATCTTTGGCAAACCCAGTTTGATCGTGGTTTCAGAGCGGCGGTCACCAACCGGTGGTCCGTGGACCACTGGTGGTCCGTGAGGAAATTTTGGTGGTCCGCAGAAAAATGATTTGCATTTTTATTATTGCACTAAATCAGGGGTCCTCAAACTACGCCCCCTGGATACGTGCAATGAACATTTGTGTTGCTGCAGAAAGTCTCCCCCTTTGGGGTCTTCTTGTGAGGGTCGGAAGGGGGCAGAAATTCCGACTTGGGGTCTGCTTCAGCCTCCTAGTGTGGGGTTTTGGGCGAAGGCTGGAGGGAAGTGCCACTGGTGGCAAAGAGCCCGAGGACCTCGTTCCAGTGGGACAGCATTATAGATGGAACTGGCTGACCATCTCAGCCCGCTGAGCCTCCAAGTGCCAGTACCTGGTCTTGCACTCCTGCAGGTCTTCCCCTCTGCTTGGAAAGCCTATGCTCGTAGTCCTCAGTGAGATTGCTTCTGCTGAGTTTCCTTCTCGGTCAGATCCAATTTGAACTGAACTGTTTTGTCAGCTCTTTCTCGTGGTGGCTGCTTAGCTCCAGCAACTGCTTCCTGTTGGGGCACTAAGGAGCGCGGGTCGGGAGGCGAGGAGTTGGCCATGCCCACCCAGTCACATGACCATCTAGCCACGCCCACCCAGCTGGTCATTAGGCAGATCACATTAGTGGTCCGCGGGATTTAAAATTATGAATTTTGTGGTCCCTGAGGTCCGAAAGGTTGATGACCCCTGGTTTAGAGTGTTCGGCCAACCTCTAAAAATGGATTAATTCAGTTACTACCTTAAGATTTTATTTATTTATTTGTATATCGCCTTTATTATTTTTACAAATAAATTGAGGAGTGAACGTATTCAACACATCTTCCTCCTTCTATTTTCCTCGTAACAACCCTGTGAAGGTGAATTGGGTTGAAAGTGACTGGCCCAAAGTCGCCCATCTGGCTTTCAGAGCTAAAATGGAACTAGAACTCTCAGTCTCCTGGTGATTGGCCCAAACTCACCCTGTCGGCTTTCAGAGCTAAAACAGAACTAGAACTTGTTTTTGTTTTTTTTTTTAATTTGATTTATATGCCGCCCTTCTCCGAAGACTCAGGGCGGCTTACAATGTGCTCAGCAATAGCCTTCATCCTTTTGTATATTTATACAAAGTCAGCTTATTGCCCCCACAAACTGGGTCCTCATTTCACCTACCTTAGAAAGGATGGAAGGCTGAGTCAACCTTGAGCCTTGGCGAGATTCGAACCCTGCAGTAATTGCAGGCAGCTGGTCTTAATAAGCTTAATAACAGGGTGCCTTAAACCCCTGTACTACCAAGGCTCTTATCAGAATTGTCAGAATATTCATGACTGGGAAGACATGGTAACAAGGTCAGCCAATGAATAGGCATAGCAACTAAATCAGCCAATTGGGAGCTGAGACAGACTGGAGCCAGGGCGTGTCTTAGTCTGCAGCTTCTGAGTCTGTAAAGAAGGGAAACTGAAACCAGTGTGTGTATGAACTAGTCTGCTGATCTGAGCTGAAATGAAACTGTGAATCTGCTATTGGTATTGTATATATATATTCTTGTATATAACGAAGTTAATGAATCCAGCTGAATCAGTTATCGGTGTGTGCTTCTGGATTTGTTTTTTGCAAGAAACTCTGACAGAACTCCCAGTCTCCTGGTGATTGGCCCAAAGTCACCGAGCTGGCTTTCAGCGCTAAGACAGAACTAGAATTCACAGTCTCCTGGTAACTGCCTTAAAGTCACCCTGTTGGCTTTCATGCCTAAGGCAGGAATAGAAGTCCCAGTCTCCTAGTGATTGGCCCAAACTCAACCAGCTACCTTTCATTGCTAAGGCTGGACTAAAGCTCATGATCTCCCACTTTGTAGCCAGGTGCCTCAACCACTAGACCAGACTGGCTCTCTTATCCATCATCAAGTCATTGATTGACTCCCAGTGATCATATAGACCCACAGGTGTCAAACTCGTGGCGTCACGTTGCCATCATGAGATAGGTTTCGTGATGTTTCTTCCTTTCATGGAGCGGTGGTGGGCGTGGCCTGTGTGTGATGCATCCGGCCCACAGGCCACCAGTTTGACACCCCTAATAGAGACAGTGTCAACTCATAAAGCATTCCTGGCCTGCTCGCTAGTTGCCATAGGCAGGAGGGGGGGGAAACTGACAGAGCAACATGGCAGCAACCAGAAGCACATTCCATGCATACCTTTCTCAAGGCTGCATCCTAGGTTACCAGAGTCAGCCGGAGAGACATGTTCTCTACAGCCCGCAAAAGTGCTCCGTTGGAGAATGTGATTTATGAGGATGGTGGGAGGAGGGGGGAAACAGGTTCATAGTTGGGACATAAATTACGTGGGGCAGAGCTGACTCCACTTGGGTATGTGCCGACATGTTGCTCCTAATAAATAACTGGATTTCTTTTGAAACTTGGCTCGAGGCTCATGAATTAATTAGGACATCTTTCGGAACCCTGACAGATAGATTTTGTTCTGGAGATCCTTCAAGTCTTCTAATGGCACACCTA